CAAGTGGAAAGATAATCTTTGCACAGATGGAGACCTATAATGAATTGGAAATCCAAAAATCCTCCAAGCTGCTTCACATGCAGAAACATACCTACATTTAAATCAAAATCATTTTAATATACTGATGATTGTTATAAACTAAGATAAATTTTAATATACCTATATTTAAACTAATGATTGTTGCAAAAATAAAAATAGGCTAAACAATATCTATACAAATTCTGAACTTGGATCACCTTCTAGAAATATATTTTAAAATGGCCATACTTTTGTAATTTCCAACCAGAAAGATTCAAACATTGAAAAAGAAATATGACCTTTTCATAATTCTAAAGAAGTATATAGGAGAAATGGGAAGCTTTTTTGAGGTAATAACCTTTTTTTTTTTCTCTTCTATATTCTAATGTAGCTTAATATTTAAAATTTTCAGACTCAATGTAAAATTATTTAAATAAATTAATTTTTTTTATAAACCTTCAAGTTGCAATTGAAAGGAAAAAAGACAATGCCAGTGGGTAACATAAACTGTGATCTAATCCAAATAATATAGCCTAGTTAATAAAATCCAAGGATATCTATGCTATCAACATGTGATAATACATTACGCATGTGAAGAATACTTAATGTCTAATCTTACTTTTTTCAAGACATAATTTCATTAATTATGAAGATTACATACCTTTTTGGAGACCAATCACACTACATATGGTCTGATGCTTGAAGTTTGAATACACACTACCATTTACTATTCTAATATAAATCATTTTAAAATCATTTTAATAGACAACCATTAAAACAATCATCGAAAAAAAGAAAAAGCATTTGGGGAACAATGATATGCACTCACCTACAATCATAATATCTCTGGATTTCATCTAAAGAAGTTGATCCACTCCCTCCAGGATGACTAAGTACAGCTGTTACCCGATCGTTACCTTTGTGAATATATTTGAAAAGGTACTTAATAGCACTGGTTTGACATGTATACTCCACATTTATGTGAGCTTTGTACTTCAGAAGAAGCTTTGCATTATAAGGAACGACATATCGATTATCCAGCTCAACACCCTTCTTCTTCACTGTTCTACCATTATCCTTCCTCCTATAATGAGGGAAGCCTTCTTCATCTATTGTGGTTCTAGAGCAAAATCCTCTGGGAAAGTGTTTTGTGCAATTCTTACCACCTTTCATGCAAGGCGATTTAGAATTTGCTCTTCCACACGGTCCATGCATCATGCAAGCTTTAACAACATCATACAATTCTGGATCCAGTACTTCGTCAGGAATTTCTGCTGAAATAATTTTATCAAGGTCCTCTGCAGATTTTGGCTTGTCATCTGAATGTAACCATAACAATATATGCGCATGGGGTAGCCCACGTTTCTGAAATTCAATTGTGCAAGTATCTGCTCATGAAGTTAATTAACCAAATGAGAGATCTTAAAGACCCATGACAGTTAAGTAAAAAATAAAGAGTTATGATAGTAAATTTAACTTACATGCTAAAACTCTTCCAAAAATATGACCACTCCTCAAATCATTGAGCAAATGATCCAATTTAATCTTAAAGATCCTGCAAAGTACGTCAGGACGGTCCTCAGGTCGAAGGCCTCTTTTACTAACAAATCTCATTATTTCCGACCATTTAGGATTGCAAGTTATTGTAATAAATAAACTTGGATAACTAGCCCAACGACAAATGGCAAATGCATCCTTGCAGTTCTCAGACATATACCTAGGACCTCCAGTGAATGAAGATGGAAGTACAATCCGCTTGCCAGTGGCAGATGCTTGTTTTTCACCTCGACTTAGAGCATCATTCAAACCTCTATACAAATCTGCTCTTAACAAAGTTTGATTATATTTCAAAAAATTTAGTCGCTCAGCTTCAATCATTGTGTAAGCATCCACCATAAATTGTTGAAACAACTTGAAGATAACAAAATTTGGGACTCATTCTCCCTATTTTGCAGACGAAATGTAAAAAACTCTCTCATGCTTACTGTTTTCCTCCCACCACCCTCAGATGATGCCAGAAGGTTGAGCATAACATCATTCCTATATCCATCTTCTCCGTAAGGAAACAATAAAGGATATTGCAAAGCAAGATAAAGAGGATGGTGCACATCAATGCGTTGCAGCAACCTAGACTGTGTTTCAATTATAATGTCCCTATCTCCAATAGAACCATCAATATCTCCAACAACCAATGCAGCCACTTCTGATGTAGATGGTAGATTGTATGTTCTTCCATCCTTGTTCCTTCGTCGAATCAGCCTCATCTTAACACCTTCAAGATTATCTTCTTTAAAACGATCCCTTGCATATCGAAAACTCTTGGCAAGTGCATTGTTTTGATCAAGCATTTCCTTCAAGGCAATTATAGTTTCAGGATCCAAATTTTTACTGTCCTGTCTTGAATTGTAAAAATAAATAAATAAATAATTAGTTTAAAAAACTGCATAATAATTTCAAATGTAATTTCTAAAGACACTAAACAAAAGGGTAATAATATAATCAAGGAGATGATTACATACCCAAAACATTTCACCCTGTTTTTAATTTCATTATCTGTATCAAAGATGTAAAGTTGGGCAAATTTAGGACTCTCATTTGGAACAGGGAGAAGACTGCCCACATAATGATGATTTTGACCCCAAGTCTGAAAATAGGAGGGTTTGAACCTTGATTGATCAAGGGATCAACTTTACCTCCAAAAGATGTAAATGCAAACATCATGTTATACGCCCTAAGATTGCATAGAAAATTCTTACTGCGATTGTCTTCAGCTTTATGTAAATGAGTGAGTAAATCAGGAGCATGCTTCAGAAGGGGCAATTGAACCTTGCCATTCATACAACACAAAGTGAATTATGGATTGATTGGGTAACGATCTTTCTTAGTTCGCTCATCATACCACATTAATGCACCACAATATTTGCATTGGTATATAGGGTCCCCAATATCTAAGTAACCTACAAACAATTTAGTTGAGTTACAATTTGTTTGAAGTGTAATCTATGAAATTAGAGACAAAGGAATTTTAAAACAAAGTATGATACTATTATCAGTAAATATGCATAATTAATAAGATTGGAATGTCATGTCAATAAAAGAATAATAAAAAAAAATTACAAAATACATTCACCATCAGAGATTGGAGATGAAACATCAGTATTCCCTTTTCAAATAACTTGTTAATATTTGATGAAAAAAAAAAAACAGTAGGCAAAACATATATAGCTTAAAATTTAAATGAATAAGTATAGCATTATACCTGTAAAGCCATTTATACTTGAATTACTTGAATTATCAATTACTGACGTTTGTGAGGACTTATTTGGATTTATATTCTTTTGCAAAACAGAAGACCTTTGTCTATTACCAACAACTTTCTCTCTTCCTGTACTGCATCAAATAATATAAAATCAAGTGAACGAATGACTCAATTAACATATTATGAGAGATTTAAAACTAATTAGTAATAATCATATGAGATAAATCTAATAAAAATAAATATCAAATAATATGAAATAGCACAACTATTAAATAAATCTAATAAAAATAAATATCAAATAAGGATCTTACGTTATAGAAGAAGAGACTAATGATTTTGTTGCACAATTTCTAAAAAAATCAAAACTTTCTTTCCTTAACTTCTGTCCATGGCTAGAATCAATGACAGGGAAAACAACATCATCACAGTTTTTCTTTCTCTTGACGCTATGCTCAGAAGGATTAAGCAAATAAGCTGAAGATTAACATAAAACACAACATAAAGATGAAGATAAAAATGATGTAAAACATATGAAAACTAATCTAAATTTTAATAATAATAGAAAAATTCAGACATTTATTCACTTACAATTTGAAATATCACATAGAGCTGATCTATTAAAAGGTTGAGAAGCATCAGTATAAATATCAAATGGAGCCATAGGAGTGTCTAAACTAACGACAGCAAGATTGTCCATGTAGACATGTGATTCGTTTCCTATAAGCACAAGCAAGCAACAATTAAAACTATAAACAACAAAAGTTTCGATAGAAATATAAAAGAGATGTATACAGTAAAAGAGCAAGAGTATAAAGGGGTAAAGAAATTGAAATGTAAAAATTGTACGGGATAAAATTAATGGAATAGACCTTTAGAAACATGAGGTTGTGTATCAAGGTTGGTGGATTTGTCAACCACATTTATAGAGCTTTTATCATTTGAATAGGCAGAAAAAGGCATTTGCAAAGACATATTAGAACCTGGATTCACATGGAAAATAGAACTCTTTCTTCTAATACCGCCAACATTGTTCTCTTTTAAACTGCAAATAAAATAATACAGGCATTTTCATGATATATAGAATCAAATAATCATATAACATTGATAAGAAAATATGAAATAAGAATCTTACGTTATATTAGAATTCCCTGGATACGTAGATGCACTTTCTCTGAAAAATTCAAAACTTTCCCTCCGCAAGACTTCAATACAACCAGAGTCTAAAATGGGGAATAGAACTTTGTCACATTTCTTCTTCATTTTGGCATTATGATCTGGAGATCTATTTAATAGTTGAGATGTATCCAAAACAGAAGCAGCAAACGGATTGGCCATTGGTGTGCATGAACCAGTATTATCAAACTCAGCTTGCAAACTGGATTTTCTTTTACCCTTTGGATCCCTATAATTATAGAAACACATAAACAATTAAAAAGGAAACATAAAGTGTCTGAAAATATGAGCCAACCAAAAAACCAAGGAGCATACATGAGCAAAGAGGGAATGTGGAACGGGAGATAGATGATGCAAAAAGAAAATGAAATTAAAGTACAGGAGATAAATAAGAAAACATAATTTAGAAGATCATAAGCCACTGTTTTGAAAATATAAACAAAAGAAGACAAATGAAGAACATATACGGGAAAAGAAAAGGAAATAAGTGGAATGGGAAATAAATGATAACAAAGGAAAAGTTATAAAAGAATTTTCACTTACCAATAACAGCATTAAATACCCTCAACTGAAAATCATCTGTGGAACAAAATCATAGTTAAGAAAATCAAAAGTCACTATTCTAAAAACACAAATATAATAAATAAATAAAGAGCATTAATTGGAAAAGTAAATAGGATAACAGACAAATAAGGAGCATTAATTGGAAAAGTAGGTAGGATGAGTGGTACGGGAATTGGCTCTAAATATTTCAAGATTGGTGACCTTATTAAACATCATTTAGAATTTTAAAAAGTGGAATGGCAAGAAAGATAACTACAAAACTGATTAAGTTACCTCGCTTATCAAACTTAGACCAAAACATAACAGTCTCAAATCCCTCAATTACAAGAATAATGTGTGGGACTTTGGTCTATCATAGCTGTGGATTAATTCCTGTCAGTGATTTCAACAATAATAAAGAGAATCATTGAACAATTCAAATCAGAAATAACAACTAAGATTAGAAAAGAAAGGACTTAGTATTACTTCTGCAGCTCCACTCGCACTTTTTCTTTCTTCAAGAGATGTATTTCTCCCCATCCATACGAAGACTTCTATCCCATAATCCAGTATATAGCATTTGTCTGTGTCCAAAAGCTCCCTTGTCAAGGAATCAACTTCAACTGGTTCAGCCTGCCCCTTCTCAACCCTTAGAAAGCAAACATAATTCAATCAATTATCTTAATGTAGTATAAATCTAAAGGAACTGTTATAGCTACTGTTCTTGATTCACATCTCAAATGCTTTTCCTCAAAAACTCAAAACTGGTACTTTTGTTTGAAATTTTAGTGGACAAATCTTAAGAAAATGGTGAAAGGAAAATGAAATGAAGAGTGACATTAAGATATATAAGTACACTGGCATATAAATATTGGATCTCAATCCAATTTAAGACACTTGATAATTCAGGGAAAAACAATGACACTGCAAAGATAAAACTGACATGCCTTGATACCTGCCAGGAGCTAGGGTTCTACCGTGTGACCTTTTAGCATGCATTACAAAAATAAAAGCACAGATAAAATTACCACTCATAAAACAAGCCAGCAACATGGACACAACATTATGGTAATGAAATGTAAAATTTCTAAACTATTTTACACCAAAAGATCTTGGAAGTTGCCTCTCAGATGGTAGAGATCCACATCTAGCGTCTACAGTATGACAATATTAAATGCCCCCAAATAAAAATGTTAAATAAAATCACAATTAAGAATATCAAAAGTTTAAACAAATATAATAATAGACAAATAAATCAATAAAAATATCAACTACTAAATATGAAATGCAACCCAAATTAATGAAATATAATCAGTTAAACTACCATGCAGGAAGATAAATATGGTTATTGTAATGAAAAAAAAAAAGATAATTGTTAATTTAAATTTCATGAGCACAAAGGACGAAATAAGTGAAAATCCCCATACAATAAGAAGACCATACAATATCAAATACTCTTAAAAAAGACATACAAAATAATAATTAAGATTAAAAGGCTAAATAGATAAAAAGATATAAAAGAAATATATATTCCCAATAAAATGTCTTATAAAAGATGTTTAACCAAAAAAACATACACCTGAAGTTCTTAATTTAAACATTATATATCTATTTATTTCATATTATTCATAGAAAAAAACATAGCTTCATAATTTGATTCAACCATGCACAAAATGCCATCAATCTTTCTCAGTCTTTATGAGCTTCTTGATCTTTGTTGCAGACTGCTGAAGTTGGCTATCAGAAACTTCATTTAGACCAGCTTCAGTAAATGACCTCTTTGAAATAATATATCCTTCATTCGGTGCATCTTCAGTACAATTATCTCCTGTGTGGGAAATCTGATCCTACAATCACAACACATTAACAATATTAAAAAGTGCTAAAATTAGACCATCATGCTAACTTATGGTAATAAAGAGTTGACATAATTTTTATTAAAAGGTAAAAACTCACCCCATCAATATATTCTTTCATTGAAATACTTGCATTCTCATCACACAAAAAGTTTTGAATTTCAGAAGATTCCTACATGATTAAATCATAAACAAAAATTTTAAAAAATTTAAACTTAATTTAAGAATAAAAATTTAATAAATATAAGCAAACACACCTGTCCAGTTGTTTGTAAGAAGCTATCAATGATCTTTTCATCAAAGAAAATCTTCCCAACATTGTAGACACTTTCTTCAAAACTGTTAATATTATTATCTTTGATGCTCAATCTAAAAATCATTTTCTTGTTCTTCAAAGCATCAAGCTCCATAGGATAAGTTTCAAGATCACCACCCTTATATAATTAAAATTAATTATATTATCAAAAATATCATATGAAATATTAAATCTCACAAAAATAAATATTGAAGGTGACAAAAAATTACCCTTTTGAAGTGTAAGTCACGTAAATCAGAAGCAGAAATATTAAGAAATCCCTTTGCAGCAGAATCAAAAAGAATGAAAGATACAGCATCAATTCCATCAACTACACGAACTCGAATGCAATACCTTTATAACAAAAAAACAATAAAATTAATATCAAATAATTAAAACCATAACTTAATCAAAATTTAATATTTTTTCTATGTTTATGAAAAAAAAATCTATGAATTTCAAATCACAAACCTCAGTCTAGGATTTGACCATCCTTTGTCACATTTTCTGCAATACCATATTCCAAAGTCCTGCTCAACACTATTTGTACAATTATAACAAGATTTGTAGAACCAATTACGTGTAGATTCAATCAAAATAATCTCAGCAAGAGTCAAACAAGTCATAACCTACAAATAAAAATATATAACACATTAAGTAGATAAAAAATAATAAAATATAATACCTGTAAATAAAAATGAGAAAAACAACTTAAAAATTACTTCTCTAGACTCCTTAATTTCCACAATAGTTTTCCTCTGCAAAATTTCATCATCAAGTGATAACGTGCCAGAGCCTACTGTGCTCAACTTTTCAATGTGAACCCCTTCACCAGTAGGAATCCTACAAATATTAAATTTAAGTAAAAATAAAAATGCTAATATAATGTCCCACAATTTATTGTCCTAATTATAAATGAACCAAAAAATAATACAAAATCACATAATAATAGTCAAACCAGAAACAATCATAGTAGACACGCTTGAGCAGTAATGAAATTAAAAGGTTGCATCAACTGCTGCACAGATATCTGAAAGCAAAATGAAATATATACAACTAACTACTCAAATAGGATCAGACCTTGCATTTTGGCCAGGTACATCACAAAGTATGCATGCATTTCCAGTTTGATTAAATATGCTTCCAATGTATTCAAATAAAAATATGTATGCATAACAAAAAAATAAAAAACTATTAAAACAATAATATTGGGATGAATAGCATAACAAAATTTGGTAAATATTCAAAAACCACCAATAAAGATTGTAAGGCTAACATGCTAAGGGATTATATTCATTAAAAACAGAGCAATATAATTTGAAAAATATTTGCATATGGAGCCAACAAACATTGAGGGTTTAATGCACAAAAAAATCCAACAATAGAATTCACTGAAAAAATGAAAATGAAAAACAAACTTATAAATATTAAATTTAAGTAAAAATAAAAATATAAATTCATAACAAAAAATTTAAAAAAAAATA